ATGGTCAGGGGACTTCCAAATCTGAAGTTCAACTCAGAAGCTCTGTGCAAAGCATGTCAGAAAGGAAAATTTTCAAAACCCTCTTTTAAGTCAAAAAATGTTGTTTCTTCCTCTAGGCCGTTGGAACTTCTTCACATTGATCTGTTTGGACCAGTTAAAACTGTATCCATCAGAGGCAAGAAGTATGGATTGGTCATTGTTGATGACTACAGTAGATGGGCATGGGTTAAGTTTTTAAAACACAAGGATGAGTCACATTCTGTGTTCTTTGACTTCTGCAACCAAGTGCAAAATGAAAAAGAGTTTAGGATCATAAAAGTTAGAAGTGATCATGGAAGAGAATTTGAAAATCATTATTTTGAAAAGTTTTTTAAAGAAAATGGAATTTCTCATGATTTCTCTTGTCCTATAACTTCCCAACATAATGGAGTTGTAGAACTAAAGAATAGAACTTTGCAAGAAATGGCCAAAACCATGATTAATGAAACTAATATGGTTAAACACTTCTGGGCAGAAGTAGTGAACACAACATGTTATATTCAAAATAGAGTCTCTATAAGACTTATTCTCGAAAAGACTCCTTATGAATTATGGAAAAACAAAAAACCCAACATTTCATATTTCCATCCATTTGAATGCACTTGCTATATTCTGAATACTAAAGATAATCTGAATAAGTTTGATTCTAAGGCACAGAAGTGCTTTCAGCTTGGATATTCTGAACGCTCAAAAGGCTATAGGGTATTCATCACAGAAACTCTAATTGTTGAAGAATCAATCAAAGTCAGATTTGATGATAATACACACACACACACACACACACACACACACACACACATATATATATATATATATATATATATATATATATATATATATATATATATATATATATATATATATATATATATATATATATATATATATAGAGAGAGAGAGAGAGAGAGAGAGAGAGAGAGAGAGAGAGAGAGAGAGAGAGAGAGAGACAGAGAGAGAGAGAGAGAGAGAATTTTAAGAAGGGTCACTATAGAGGCCATGATAACTAAGGCACAAAATGTCTTGTAGTATTAAAGACAAAGGGAAAACCAAGGGAGAGTCAGGTATATCTAATTTTTGACTTTTTCTTTGTATTTTGACTATAATATTTTAATAATTTGTATTATAGTTTATATTTTTTGAACATATATTTGGGTTGAGTTAGGTATATCCAATTGTTAACTTTTTCTTTATATTTTAACTATAATATTTTGATAATTTGTATTATAGTTTGTATTTTCTGAATCTATATTAGATTTTTTGATAACAAATATGTATGGTGGAGACCACCATTTTGACTTAATATATAATCAACTTTTTCTATGAATATTGACTTTAACATTTTGATAATTTATATTATGGTTTATATTTTCTGAACAATGATATTGATTTTTTTTATAACAAATGATATATGGTGGTAACCACCATTTTGACTCAATATATATTTGACTTTTTCTTTGTATTTTAACTACAACGTCTTGATAATTTGTATTATAGTTTGAATTTTCTGAATAATGATATGGAATTTTTTTTATAACAAATAATTAGTTTGAATTTTCTGAATAATGATATGGAATTTTTTTATAACAAATAATGTATTGTGGTAATTAGCATTTTGACTTAATATATAATATCTTAATTATATATAAAATGTATGATTTAAATTTACTACATTCATGTATACTTTGTATAACATGTTCATTAGATCAATCTTTTTCAGGTTTTAATTCAGAAGTAGGTTCTCCATTTTCTCTCAATTTGACCGGGTGTTTCTATCCTTTTAAAATAGCTTTTCAAACCCTGATGTCTAAGAACTTTAAAAAGGAAACCGTGCGTGGTTTCCAGTAGTCATAATTGATTCCATCCATAATGGGTGGTATGTTCACAAATCCTTCTTCCTTGTTCATAGTACCAGAAAGTATCTTCCCTGGATCTCACCCAGATAAAGAGCAGGATGTCCACTCTGATACCAATTGAAATTCTGGTATCAGGTATATGATGTCGAATGAGATGTCACGACACAAATATTTGTTTGCAAGTAAGGTGCAGTAAAATCAAAAGCAGTAAAATACAAGAGATTGTTCACCCAGTTCAGTGTACAACAACACCTACTCTGGGGGCTACCAAGCCAGAGACAAGTTCACTAAATAGTATCAATTCATAGACCCTCAGTAAACAACCAGTTTATGATCTAATCACTTAATCACAACCCAAGCTAAACTTCTACCTAAGACTCACCTAGGTATGAGGCCATCCTCAAATCCCTTCAATCACTTACAGTGAAGAACTTAACAAAATTAATAAGTTTGAAACCCTTCAATCATTCAATGCTTAAAAGCTTATGAATGATACATAATTAACGACCCAAATAACAACTCAGGTATTTAAACTAATATTTAGAGTGTATTAAAAATAAAAAGCCTAGACTTCTAATCAGAAAGAAAGTATTCTTCTTCAAAAGTTGCTTATCTTTGAATAAGGAAGCAAGTCCTTATATATGCGAAGCTTTGGGCCTGAGCTTAAAAACAAATATTCAAATCTTTTGAATATTTTCATAAAAACAGACTAAGATAAAATTATGCAATTTGAAAAATATTCCTCCATATTTTTCGCAGCCTGTAGATCACAAATCCTGAATTATAGAGTGCTGGAAATCAGGAAACAAAAGACTTAACTGATTTTGGACTGAAATCAATTCAGTAGGCAGATGTCAAGACATCTGTTTTGACATCATTCAAAATAATTTTGCTCCAAATATTAAGACATTTAGCAAAACACACACACACACATATATATATATATATATATATATATATATATATATATATATATATATATATATATATATATATATATATATATATATATATATATATATATATATATATATATATATATATATATATATATATATATATATAGAGAGAGAGAGAGAGAGAGAATTTTAAGAAGGATCACTGTAGAGGTCATGATAGCTAAAGGGAAAACTAAAGGGGGGAGTCAGGTATATCTATTTTTTGACTTTTTCTTTGTATTTTGACCATAACATTTTGATAATTGTATTATAGTTTGTATTTTTTAAACATATATTAGATGTTTTGATAACAAATAATGTATGGTAGTAACCGGAGGGAGAGGAGGAGGGGTGAGTTAGCTATATCCAATTGTTAACTTTTTCTTTATATTTTAACTATAACATTTTGCTAATTTATATTATAATTTGTATTTTCTAAATCTATATTGGATTTTTTGATAACAAATAATGTATTGTGGAAACCACCCTTTTAACTTAATATATAATCAACTTTTTCTATGAATTTTGACTATAGCATTTTGATAATTTATATTATGGTTTATATTTTCTGAACAATGATATTGGTTTTTTTTATAACAAATGATATATGGTGGTAATCACCATTTTGACTCAATATATATATATTTGACTTTTTCTTTATATTTTAACTACAATGTCTTGATAATTTGTATATAGTTTGAATTTTTTGAATAATGATATAGAATTTTCTTATAACAAATAATGTATCGTGGTAATTAGTATTTTGACTTATATATAATATCTTAATTATATATAAAATGTCTATGATTTAAATTTACCACATTCATGTATACTTTGTGTAACATGTTTATTAAAAATATCAATATTTTTTTAAAATAAAATTATTAAAAAAGTTAATATAATTTGATCCGCATATTATTATCTGAACTCACCTAGGGATGTCAGTTTGGACCTATTAATGGGGATCCCCGCGGGGAACGCCCCGTTCGGAGCCCCAAAGATGGGGAATTTTCCCCCGTGGGGGCGGGGATGGGGAGAAAAATTCCCCCGAGAGCATTTCGGGGACGGGAACGGGGAATACACCCCCCGCCCCGCCTATTATTTTAATATAGTTAATTTAATATATATATTTTAGTTGACTTATTATGAAGTATTTTTTAGCTTTTCAAGCATACTCATGATGCTAAATTTTATAATTATCCCTTATTAGTTTTGATGAAGTATAGTTTTTTAAGCATAATTATGTTGTTGGATTTTTTTAGTTGTTTAGGCATATTGTTACTTTAAAAAGTATTATAGTTCATTTTGTTGAATTTTATAGCATTTTATAGAAATTTATAAAAAAAATATTATTATTTTGTGTTCCATTAGTATTTTTAATAAAAAATAATAAATGTCAAATACTAGTATTTTTTTAATAACATAATAAATATGTGAATTCTTTGTGCTTTTTATTTTTATAGAAAATATAAACATTTTAAAAAAATAAAATATTAATGAATAAATGTAGGATCTATGGGGATCCCCGCGGGGAACGGGGATCCGCAGGGAACGGGGATGGGGATAGAAATTCCCCCGTGACGGAGATCGGGGACGGAGACGGGGAATGAATTTGATGGCGGGGAAAAAGATGGGGAAGTGTCCCCCCGGCCCCGCCCCGCCCCATTGACATCCCTAAACTCACCCCTAAATTAATTCAAAAATTAATATTCGAATTAATTTTGAAAAAAAAATAGAAATGTTTCTTTTATAAAATTATTTTATTGTTAAATAAGTAGGAATAATATTTTTGGATTTCACAAGGATAACTGATAGGTAAAGTAAAAAAAAAAAGAATTTAACAATTAAAACCCTAAATTCCAAACAAAATAAAATCCTATAGAAATTCAACTCAGCAGCTCCATCGCTCTGAACTCAACTGGCCAGAAAACAAAAGGTTGGCGGAAACGCTAACGAAGTTGATTCCTCTCTCGCGTTCGTTCCATTCGCAGGACAAGCCATCATCGCCGCCACCTGTGCAACCTCCCACGCCGCCGCCGTCGACTTCGCTGGTACCTTTCTCCTACTTCCTGTACAAATTATCTAAATCAATGGAATATAGTTTTATGAGTTTTTATTAGGCTTGAGTTATCAACTTTTCAGGCCTAATGCATTTTATTTTGGTTCAGGAATGTTAGAGAAAACGCCAGTGGTTGGCCTCTCATGGCAACCACAGTTGCCTTTTCCATCTCTATCAAAGGCCACAAATGATCCATGTCATTGTAGCACTATTTGGAAACCAAATTCAGAATTGGTTAGTGGGCTCTTGGTTCCTCCTAATGATCCCAGAAAACTAAATAACTTATTGAGACAGCAAGTTAAGGATACTGCTGGAAAAAGATGGTATGATCTAAGCAAGTTTTACATTTTCTGCAACCAAGGTTGAAATCTTTTGTTTAATTGTCTATATCATTTTGTTTTTTTATCAATTATAAATTTATTGTCCATAAAGGGATGAAGAATTGTTCATATTGATTTTGTAAGAGTTGAGAGAAGAGAGAATTGTATTTATAATTCTGTCATGAATTTAACAGAAAATGAATGTTAGTTTTAGTTTTAACATGAAACAGCCAACACTTTTCTTTCTATTAAATGATAGAACATTATAACCAAGTACTTGGGCTCTAGTGGGAAAGAAGCTTCCACTAAGGACGAATCGAGTCGTTCCTCTGAACCACGAAACCACCAGATTAGTCGATTCACTATGTGGATCGGAACTGGTTGGCATTATGGTGTCCGGTCGATTCACTATGTGGATCGGAACTGGTTGGCATTATGGTGTCCAGTCGATTCACTGTGTGGATCGGAACTGGTTGGCATTATGGTGTCCGGCATATGATCTATGCAGCCGACCATGCTTAGTGGGATGAGACTTGGTTTTTTTGTTTGATTGTTTGTTTTGAAAGGATAAGACTTGGCTGTTGTTGAATGTTTATTTATGCATTTTCTTTGATTTCTATGTGTGTGTTTTTATGTGTGTTTTTAGGTTAGAAATCATATAATGGGAGTTATCTAATTATATTTGAATCTTTACCAGGTTTGACATGCCTGCTCAAACCATGACCCCCGAGCTGCAGAGAGATTTGAAGTTACTAAAGGTGATTGAGTTTTCAACATTATGTTCTAATTAATCTCTCGCATCAATTTTAGTTCACTTCACATGTTATATAGGTTTGCGTTGCCTTACAATTATCCTTTTCGTAGTATTGGTTTCATGCTTCTTGCGGGAGATCTAAACTTTTTCAAGATTGGTGGAGCTGACTATTTCTCTTGTTTTTTGCCTTAGCAAATCAGCATTGACTTATGAACTGGATTTATATGTTTGTTAGAGTATTGATGGCAACCATCAAATAAAATCCTTCTCGAGACCTGCCTGACATGGTGAAATAAACTACAATGCTCATGGATGTGTATACTGAGAGTTTAGGGAGAATTGTTAAGACCATAGTTCGTCAGTTCACTTCGATAAAAATTTAAAATAATTGTAGACATTTATGCAATATTTGCTAACATGGATATCAATGTATCCATCAATTTGTTTTGAGCTATCTATTTTTATTGTGCACACCACACAACTTTTTATGCCTTTATTTTGTGGAAATATGATACTTACACAATATGTATATATTGGCTGATGGTCACAGTTGAGGGACGCCATTGATCCAAAACGGCACTACAAGAAGGGTGATTCAAAATCAAAGACTCTTCCAAAGTACTTTCAGGCAAGTTCAGTGTTGTTGAAAGTCCCATAAAAAATTGATATCTGGGTGATTCGTCTTTAACTTTTTATCATTGTTCCTATATGATCAGATAGGAACAGTTGTAGGTTCCCCAATGGATTACTTCTCAGGCAGATTAACAAAGAAAGAGAGAAAAGAATCGTTTGCAGATGAGTTGCTTGCTGATCAAAAAGATTCAGCTTACAGGTAATATACGCATTAGAAAACATATTTTCCTGAAGTTTTTTTTTGAAAGACCATGCAATGCAGTCATTTTATATTACTTACATGAATTTATAAAACATCATTCTATTCAGCTTAACTTTACTTCACATCAACATTTTTTGTAGGAAGCGTAAGGTTCGAGAAATTGAAGAGCAGAGGCGACCAGCTGGAAATGAGAAGTGGAAGATCAAAGGCCAAAGTTCTCTGAAACGTGCAAAAGAAAGGAGGAAGTTCTGAATTTTACAGACTTGTTGGAGTTTATTGCATTCAATTTTGTTCACATGCCAGGAAATTAATGCTATGGAACAGTTTATAATTATTGACTTCATGTAAAAATTACTAAAACCTAATGGTTTTATGAATTTATATAGGTCTAGTCAATGATTTGAGCCGCATTTTTGTATTATGGAAATTCATGTTCGTAATTTCTTTCAACTTTAGCATTTGTATTATAAGAATTAGTTATTATTGTTGTTGAAGTACATTTTTAAAAATGAAGAAGTAAAAAATTAGAAGCTGGGTTCTCATGATATCTTAATCATCATCAATTGTAAGGTATATTGGCTACAATTCTTATTAGTGTTTATAATTAGTTTTTTTTTTAAGATTTCATTCTTTTTCTCTCTCACTGATAGTCTCTGGTGCTTGTTTGTTCCTTAACAACAAAGTGATTTCTTCGTTTATGATGACAATGGTGTTTAAAAATGTCTAAAATGGTTCATAAATTGCATAATTGAAAAAAAATACTTGGTTCAAAATTGGATATGGTGAAAGAGGCAAAGACCTATGAATGCCCTGGTGAATCATAATCTATAATGAGGAGCAATCTAACCTATATTGTCAAAAGAACAAATATCCAAATGCCATGAATCCTTTTGGAGAATTTTTTTTTTAATGAAAAAATAATTTCATTAAAGAGCAGAAGCCCAAGAAACAGAGTTTGGATAGACAGGGACAAACCCTATAGAGTGACCAAGTTTAACAAGACTATGGGCAATAACATTCAGATTCCTAGGGATGTAAATGATAGAAGCGAAATCAAAATTACAAATCAAAATATATTTTTTAGTCCTTTAAGTTTATCTCTGGATCCATTTTAGTCCTTTAAGTTTAAAAAGTTTTAAACGGATCTTTTAATTGTTCAAAAAGATTCACAGTAGTCATTTCCGTCAATTTGGGTTAAACGCACGTTTGTTTTTCTATGTGGCAAATGACATGGATTACATATGCATCTTCTTCCTTCCATCGTTCCATTCTGTTCTCTTCAACTTAGAAAATCCCCAAATTCTTAGGTTCATAATTTTTCCTTCCCTTCAAAACTGAAATTGCTCGAGGAAGATGAAGACATCAGCATCAACGAACTCAGGGCAATGTTCATACGACTCGACTGTGAAGAGCGGTTCTCGTTTGGATGCTAATTTGCGATGGAAACTCATATGTGGCTGTGGAGACATGGCTCTTCTTCGAAGGGCATCAACCGTCACGAATTTTGGAAAACAATTTTGGGGCTGTCGTGATTATAAGGTAAAAGAAGAATTTAAATTGCTTCTTCATTTGTGTTTATTCTGATATATACTAAATGTGAATTACACAGGATGCAACACAAGCTGGTTGTGGTTATTTTGAATGGTTCTATGATTATGTGGTGGATGAGAAAGACCAATTTATGAAGAAGCAAAAAGTAGGTTGGAGAAGCTTCAAAATGAACTTGATGCAGTAACATTGAATTTGGAGTCTTTAAAGGCAACAAATGATGGCCTGAAACAAAAGACAAGGAACTTACAAGTTCAAATGAAGAAGACAACGAATTCGGAAAAAAATTGGAAGAGCCTATTTTGTATTGTTTTAGTTATGGTCATATGTAGAATGTTGTATCTATTGTATCCGTTTGAATTAGTTTGTGTAAGTTGTAACAGTTTGTTATGAATTAATGTGTTTCCAATTGAATATGTTTGTTATGAGTTAAATTGTAACAATTTGAATTAGTATGCGCGTTTTCAATTGAATATATTTGCTTTCATTCACAGTTGGTTTATACCATTATTTATCTGTTGGTTTATACTCAAACATATAGACAATCAATTGAACAAAGCTAACAATAACATTTCATTATAATGTAGTGTGGACCACCAATATTTAGACAAAACACATGTTCAAGCTAACAAAATTACAAGTTCAGACAAAACACATGTTCAAGTTAACAACATTACAAGTTCAAAATATAACTTAGCTAAACTTAACATAACTTAACTTAACATAACTTAGAAGAACAACATTTGTGATGTTGTCCTTCTTGCTGTTGGACCTACATCAGTTATGAATGTATTCAACCTAGTTGTTGGACCATGTGGTGTAAAAGGTGTGTTTGGCCTTCTGACGGGTAACTTTTTGGATTTTGGACTCATTTTCTTGGATGTCTATTGGGATGGTTATCTATACACCTGTTGGGATGATTGACTAGCCACCTATTAAGATGCTTCAGTAAGAGCTTGTTGGGATGCTTGAGTAGGAGCTTGTTGGGATGTTTGAGTAGTAGATGATACCTTGCAAGTTAGCTTGTTGTGACCTAATTTCTTACATCTACTACACTTGACAAGGAATCCAGTTCTTCTCATCTTTTTATCAGAGCCATCAATCTCACTTGCTCTAAATTCCTTCTCTCTTTTTTGGCCTTCCAGGCACTTTCCTAAATTTTGGAGGCAAGACATTTGGATACTCAATTCTTTCCCAAAGGTTTGAGCCATTAACAGGAAAAATTACAGGTTTGTAAACTTGCATATATCTTGATTTCCTGTAGTAGTCAGGGATGTAGTCATCAACCTTATGATTCCTACTTTTAATGGCTGAAAGTGAATAAACACAAGGTAGGCATGTCAGCTCCCATCTTCTGCATGAACAAGTTTGTTCCTTCAAGTTGACTGTAAATTTTTCAGCTGAGTTTTCTAGGTGCCTCACTTTAAAGATATGTTCATAAGACATCCTAACATATAAAAAACATTCCAAAATGTATGATCACTTAACAAACAGAGTTAAAGTTTTAAAGGTACTGTGATTAAGGTATTTACCTGACAAGCCACATCTTTGTGTATGAACTTGTTTTCTCAACTTTCCTTTTAATGTTTGGTAACACTTCAACATCTGCCAATTTGTCAAACTTTAACCTATTTGTGGCCCATCTCTCCATCATGTATGTCTTTATTTCTTCCACCATGGTTATCAATGGCTTGGCCCTGGACTCCAAGATGACACTATTGAAGGCTTCATACATATTATTGAGAACGACATCACATTTGTTATGTGTCTTGAAGTATGATCTACTCAAAAATCTTGGAGGGATGCTCATCATGTGCTTATAGACTTCTACATTGATCTCCTTCATTACTTTCATCTCTCTTTCCCAATTTTGGCAGTAAATTGACTTGACTGCCTTCCATATGATTTCCTTCAGCTTTTTTCCAGGATACCTTTTCCTAAAGTTATTGTAGAGATGCCTAACACAAAATCTTTGTTTAACTATAGACAGCAGTTCTTCCATTGCAAGCAATAAACTCTAAGTCGTCAAAATTATAACATGAGAACTCTAAAAATGGAAATATTTATAAATTAAGAATTTAAAAGAGATTCATACCTTTTGTTGATCAGAAATAAAAGTGTATGTGAGGCATTCTTCTCTTCCACCAAGATCATCAATAAGCATCTCCAAGAACCAAGTTCAGTTATCCTTGTTTTCACTCTCCACTACTGCAAATGCTATTGGTAGCATTTGATCAGCAATCTCTAAGGCACCTTTGTCATCAACCAACAAAATAGTTCCAGCAAGAGGACCCCTATAATATATCTCCTCTATGTCCGCATAACCTAGTTCCTTAATAGCACCTAACAACTCAAAATTGCTCCACTTACCTGCATCTTCTCTCAAATCCGCAACCTCCCCCCTTCGTACACATTAAGATCCTCACTAACAAATTCACCGCTATGGTGGATTGTAATATTCAGAAATTCATCCATTTCAGACTATGCCCTAAATAGAAGCAAAGAACAAATACTTCAAAAAGATGGATTTCAAAATACCCTAACTATGAAAATTATAAAGTTGCAGATACTTACCTCTATTAAGCAGTTTTGTATTCGCTTTGTGGTTGAAGAACCGATTATGCCTTCGCTTCGCTTGCAGCAACTTCACCTTTGAGATGCAAAATTGGTTGCGCTAGGGTTTCCTTGAAGAAACAACAATGACTTCTGCGTTTTTCTTTTCAATCCCTTTTCTATTTAAGACTTCAAATATTATATTCCAGATGGCAATTGATAACGTGAAATTATATCGTAAATTCGACTTGATTCACATGCACTTTTATATTATTTTTCATTCATTTTTATCTTGCTATGTCGGTATTTCTATTTTATTTCAGGTATTTATATTCCACAAGACTTGCATGAGAAAAGAGGAAGAAATGGTAAAGAAATGAGTTGAAAATCACATTGTAGCAGGAAAATGCATGACAGAAGACTGTGACGGTTATCACAGCCTTCATGCCGGTCGCCACGCCTTGAAAATATGTGTGCCCCTCGGCATACATGATGTTACAGTTTCCACACCGTGAAAATATGTGTGCCCCTCGGCACACATGATGTTACGGTCGCCACAGTTTGAAAGTTTGTGTGCCCCACGGCACACAAGGCATGCCCCTCGCCGCAACTCTGTCCCAATAGCTTAATTACGTGGTTTTCTCCATGCCTGCAACAAAGCTCCTATATTCTCTCAACTTCTCCAATCATGATCTCCATTTTTCTCCACTTTCTCCAACTTCCCACTATCTCCACATTTTCTCAACTTCTTCGACCATAATCTCCACTACCTCTCACATGTTAACTTCCAGCATTTCTCACTATATAAGGGACCTAGCATTCATTGTTTTAACATCCAAGTTTATGCGCGAAAGCATAGTTCATAGTTTTAGGCAGAAATCACATTTGTAAAAGTGATAGTTTCCCATATAGGGGAACTACCACACCATTAGTTTTAGGCCTACAACTTATGTACTCTTGGATCACAATCTTGCCATCATAGTAGAAGTTTATTTCAAGTTCTTTATTTTGCGCATTTACAGGTTCTTTATCGTATTGTTTATTATTATTATTATTATTATTATTATTATTATTATTATTATCATTATTATTATTAGCATTATTATTATTATTGCTTTGTTTGTCAAATTTAATTACCATGTTATTTTTAA